AAACAAACAACTTCTAGATGCTGCTTGTGGGGGGAGGATTATGAAACTGGAATGATTATGAGGAGGAGGAGAAGGAGGAGGAGACAGATGGGTGTAAGAAATAAGGCAGCTAACTGTCGAGGTGAAACAGGGTCTTTGCTCCTCTCACCTGTGGTCATTTTCAACAATAACTTAAATGTAATTTATTAGACCTGTCAAGTCTTGAGAAGCAACTGCAGCAGCAGAATCAGAAGAGACAGTAAACTGGATGACTTTTTCACATGATGTATTGTGTATGACTTGTGCCTCATGAACGGCCGAGGGGTTTTAAATATCCAGTGACAATACATCACACAGAGCTGACATTTCTGTAGCATTCCTGCAATCCCTTTGCTGGAGGGAAGAGAAACAAATAAACACTTTGCGCTGTTTCCTGTAGGTGACAAAGACCTTCTAACAGTGTACAGTAACAAAATGTTGTGAAGCCTGTTTAGCAGAAGTTGCAATGACCTTAACAACAACACTAAAAAATAATTGTCCATGCCTCTTGGTCTTTCATTGCTAATAAATTACATATTTCATCTCATCCCTTTAACTGATTGGGCTATAACCAGAGAGCGGCACGCACTCAGACAAACACTTTCTTGCTGATTGGTGGCTCATTAAAGTGGAAGTGAATGGAACAGACATAAGAGGAAATTCAACTCAAATACACGTACACACACAGACACACATACCTACAGAGAGGGAAATTGATTTCTTCAGAACACAGGGAGATCAAAAGGCTTATTATAATTGGTTTGTAAATGTGGCGGAGCTTAACCACCCACTCTCTAGCACATACACCAGCACACAGGCATCCTCGCACTGACAAACATGCACTCATCTGCAATAATACTGTCTCTATTTTACAGGAAGCAATGTGATACAGGAAGGCGCTGTTACATGTGTAGGTGTGCGCTGTGCGGGAATATACAGAAGGCATCAAAAACTTGATGTGATGGCAGGGGATCTCCAGTAAAAAGAAGAACTGGGTCCTTGTATGACAACAGATCACAGAAACACAGCGACAGAGACTGAGACACAGAGGAGAGAAAAGCGTAAGGCTGGAGAATTGAGATATGAAAATGATCCTCGCATTATGAGGATTAATAATCATATATGCTCCTGGCCCTTTTCTCTCCTTTTCTTTCCCGAATCAAATTAATCACCACCGCTCCCCTAAGCCTAGGCTCTCCCTCTGCTCACTCTCCTTTATCCAACCACCTTCTCCTCCTCGCTCCATTTCTTGGGTGTCTCTCTCTCTCTCTGCTTCTTTTGCTAATTGGGCTATCTGAGGTGCTGACTTCAAAAGGCACCTGCTATCACACACCGATGAAAAAGTGAGAAAAGGACAGTTCAGGATATATATTCCCATATTAAATGAGAAGTGTTAGAATTGTAGCCTTGTCACTGTCCTCCTGCCCTTTAGGAAAGTTGGCTACTATGCATTAAAATGAACCCTGTTGGGATTCCTTCCTCCTGTTTTTTTTTTTTACATCTCTTGTTATTTCATCGTTAAATTAACCTATGAAAAAGTAGACACAAGCCCTTCAATGTGAGGATATTTAGCAAGCAGCTTAAAGGCTGAATGAAGAGTTAAGCTCACTGTCTGAAAGTCAATACAGGCCACTAACTGCTTCACTTACTCCCTGCTTATCTAGAACCACTTAGTTGTTTAAGATTACAATAATCTATTTTATATTTAAGAATAGTGAATGAAATTAAGAATTTTAAAACTGTTCATACTGTACAAATGTAATGTGTCACAGTTTGCCATTATCTCAGACTGGGCATCAGCTGAACCAAATTCAGAACGGCAGTCTTGCATCCTTTCTTTCAAACAAGCGGCGCTAGGATATCATACAAATGTACCTTAAATCTCACAACATCAACATCACACAGATGGATTCACTCTTACACGGAGAGATTGCTATCCGGAGCCAGCAGCAGGTCTGAAAGAATATACTGAAACAGCTCCCAGAGGTGGTACACCTTGTGAAAACCTTGAGAGCTTGCATCCTCAATAAGAAAACCTTGCTTGTTTTATTGACTGACTTTAAAATTTCTCATTTCCCATGAAGGTAGCTTAGTTTGTCTGTCCTTGTGAACAAGATGTTCAGCAGCACAGCACTACTGACAGCGGCCTTGGCTGAGATGGTGTAGTTTGCAAGGCAAGTTAAGTAGCTTAAGAGGGAAAAGGTGAAAAGTCCAGAGGTAACGAGTGGAATAAATCAAGTAAGGTGGAATATTTGTCCAAGAGTAGCCTGGACTTGTTATACTATTGCCTTACCTCTGAAAATCTGATGAAAACATGTTGCCAACAATGTGATCAGGCAGAAGGAAAGGTTGTATGTCTGTTTGTGTGTACAGTTACATCTGGTTAAATTACATCTGAGGCATGACTTCATTTGAATAGGAAAAGTGAAGTTTATTAATGCTAAGTGTAATAAAGCGGCTTCATTGGTATATGGAAAAGGCCACCAATGTATGATTTCATAAAATTTCAACTTGTTAGGGCGTATCTCTACACAAAATGATCTATGTTTATATCTCTGTAATCTGTCCAGTTTTTTTTTTGTTGCATGCTCTGCAGTAGAAAACAGCAGCATTAAAGACAACTGTTCTGACCTTAAATGAAAATCTAACCCTGTTTTCAGGGGAAAGGGTTACAGAAACAGATACATATATAGCTAGAGGTACACAGACCGAAAATAGAAATAACTACCGTACATAGAAAAAGAGCAAAGGATACGGCCATTTACAGCCAGAGGGCGTGTCTCCCACCATCAGCTCTCTGCTCTTCCACCGAAGCTCAGAGGTCACCTCTGACCCTGCCCTGAGCACATTACCACCCTGCACGTCTGTTTTTAGTGTGGGTGTGTATGTGTGTGTACATGCCAACCCAGATGTGCTGCCAGGCAGCTGATGGAGAGGAGGAAAAAGGGTCAGGAAGGGTCAGCTGTGGCTCAGTGTGGCGTTGGTCTGCTTTCTCTGTGTAACGAGGAATGAGAGGCGTGAAGAGGAAAAGGAACAGGAGGATGAGGAAGAGTGAAGCTCCCAGAGGTGAGGGATAAGGAGAAGGTGAGAGAGGTCAGGAGGTGAATGAATTAGGCCTTGAGCAGTGTGTGTTTAGAAAGAGAAAGAACGACATGAGGTGAAGGTTAAATTAGCATAACCAGTCACAGTGTAGCTTAAACCACAAATGCACACTCACAAAAACAGAAGATGCCTAAAATCAGCTTAATTAAATCTCATTCTGTGTCAAAGAGATGTTTCATTCTAACTACCAAACCAACACATTCAAAAGATAGCAAGACAGAGTAATTAAGACACAGAACCAGATGTCTGGACTATGAAGCAGGTGAATGGGGAGTCAGCTTTAGGGTTAATTCTAGGATTCCAAATTAAGAACCACTTTTTACATTACCATGGTCACTTGTGATGCACAGCTAACCTGCCCCGGAGAAGGTTATGTTCTGGAAAAGCAATCCGTGCAAAACCCAACCTACTGATCAATCAATTCTCTTGACCCTGAAGTCTCTGTGCTCAGTGAGCAGATCGTGAGAGGGGGAGGACAAGAGTAATAAAGAGCGACAAACACTTCAGCTTGCTGGTATGATGTTGCATGTGACAGTAGCCATGAGACATATTCTTGGTACTCATCCGATATCATCCTACAATGGAAACCTAATGATCATTAAAGCTGTGTACTTGTTGAACTAATCATTCTGGGAGGTAAGCCTTTTCACAACTTAAATGTGTTTTTTGAATTAATTTTTATTTGCTCCCTATGTCCACAATGTTTCCCACCAGTGGGGCTTCAGCAAAAAACACATGTCTAAAACTCTCAGTAAAAGAAGTTCTGAACAAGGAATTGATTTACATCACAGATGTACTTTTTGTCAAATCTTTCCTGCACCATTAATAGATCAGTGATATTACAAGCTTTAATTTGCAAATTCAGGCTGCTACATGTGATGCTTTTCTTAGATAAAGTGTTAACTTTACATTTTTCTAGTATTGCAGTTTGATCTGACTTTGTAAAGGATGCAGTTCTGCTACAAATTGACATTTAATGTTCGGCCATTCCCCTTTCCTCATGTAAAACATGGTCATGGAAACCTTGTGTTGACTTATCGAGATAATAAGCATCATCATGTGACAGTTTAATGTGATCTCTTTTGTTAGAGTCTGAGTAGCTGGATAACCAAATGATACCATGGTTATGTTGAGTCTGCTACATAGTTCAGACCTCTTCTCTCTCTCTAAAACCACATACACAGACGCACACACGCTCGCACATGCGCGCACACACACACACACGCACACACACACACACACACACACACACACTGACACAGACTAACAGGCAGGTATACAGCAATGAAAAGGCCAGGGTGTCTTCATAGTCTGCTCTCAGAAAAGGTTATTAGATATCAACCGGAACAAGCGGCTGTCTCAGCTAATAAAAAGTTGAGGCGTGGATGCTGGTGGGGAAGGGGGTCAAATCAAGGAGTGACAGGCGGACGTTAGGAATTGCCATACAGGTGAATGCAGATGGGACAGCTGCCAACACTGATGCAAGCTGTTGATGTCAGTTAAATGTCAGCCATGTGTGCATGCACACTTCTGTGTCTGCATATGACATGGGCAAGACTTTGTGTGTGCATATGTACTGAGCTTGAATCTGAAGGTCACATGGAATTATACACACACCCACACACACTGTCTGTCTGTGATTTCCTGGTGTCCTGGTTATGTAATGAATATGGAGGAGTTAGAGCAGAAGGCTCAGTGACACTGGGACAAGGTGATAGAAGTGGACAGGTGTGCGTGTGTGAGCGTAGGCCCGTGTGTCAGCGCTTTGTGCCAGGACAGCAGGTGGCTAGTCAAAGGACATCAGTGACCTTCTCCTTATCCCTTCCTCTACCCACCTCCCATTGTCCATCTCCCTTTCTGTCCCCAAGTCCCAATTCAGTTCACCCCAGTAGCAAGTGTGCCGTCTCTGCACAACAAGTCATGAGCACATTGAGAAGATGAACACATACACAAACACAGGTGTGGGTGGTTTATTCATGAACTTGTGTGAGATTCTGTTTTGACACAGAGTTGCTGAATAATGTAAATGCGCAGTGTGTCCTCCAAGCAGAGGAAGCAAAGGGTGAGAAAGGCTGGAGAGCATATTTGAAAACGAACTAAACGAAAGTGTGTGTGTGTGTGTGTGTGTGTGTGTGTGTGTGTGTGTGTGTGTGTGTGTGTGTGTGATATTCTTACCTTTTGAGGCTGATGGAAGCAGAGCAGGAGGATTGAAATAGATATGGAGTAAGGGAGAGAGGGGAGACACATGGGAGAGGTGAGAAAAAAGAAGAATTTGCTCATCAGGTGAAACTCAACATGATAATAGCATTAGTAAAAACATGCAAACCCAACACTCACTCTTAGTCTGAGAGGAGAAGGTCAATGTGAGTTTGGCAAAAAGCTCATTGCTTTCAAATTTGTCCTCTTTTGCCTTGGTCCAGAAACTGTTCTCTGAGAGGTCCTCAGGTCCGATCTAAGAAAAGGAAAGGTCAGATGTATGTCAAGAAAAAACAAAGAGGGAGACAAAATAGAGAAGGTATGGTTTGTTTCTATCAGATCAACATATTAAGAATTATTTAAGTTTCAATTATGTAAAATGGCAAAATAAGCTGTGTAGATAAAGAAGTCAATAATACAAAATAGGAAGCAGGTCTATGAAAAAGGCAGGGTATGACGATAGAAGGAGGGGAGAGGGGTAAGTGAAGGAAGCAAGGCATAAAGAGGAAATGGAGAAGAGCAAAGAAGCAGTCATTTTCTCTCATCTTCACACACTGTCTCTACCACAAAGCATCTCCTGCTTCACAAACAGAAAAGCAAAGACATACAAAGACTTCCCCTTTTTTTGCTTCCCTGATCCTTTTTTCCTACAACCTTTCTAAGGAGCTCTCTCTGCATTCATTCCTTTGTCTTGGTTCTCTCTCTCTCTCTCTCTCTATTCTGGTCACAAGGCACAATTTACTTAGTATGTTTTCCTCTCTGTCACTTTCTGAGTGTTCTCATCAAAGAGAAGGAAACGGAGAGAAAGTGAAACAGAGAGAGCGAGTGAGAAAGCATTGGTTGTAAATTTACAGATATCAGGCCTTTCATTATGGACAAAGCCTCGGGGATGTGGATGTAGGACAGAAAAGGCAGAGAAAAGAAAAGGGAAATGTGATATGGGGATGAGCTGAAGGAGCACGAAAGAAAGCAAGAGAGCACGCAAAGAGGATGATGAGAGCAAGCGAGAGAAAAAAAAAGTCAATTTAAATTACAAAAGAATACTGTCCTTTCTAGTAGCAATTTAATTATCTTTCAGCGGCGCAGTTAAAAGAAGAAGGCTTATTAAAAAGCAATTTCTGTGACATCCTCGTCAAACACCCTCACCAGACCAAGAGAGTGAGAGAGAAAGAGAGAGAGAAGCTAAATGCTGATGAAGTCTGCTGAAGCCATTAAACAGTAGCTTTAGGCTAAAGAAAGACACAGGGCGGTTTTGATGTTTAAACCATCATAGATGAGAGGGAAGAGGATAAACATGAGACACATAGTCATGAGAAATATGCATGCATGCAAGTCACTGTAGGTCAGTATCTCACTGTTATACCTCCATCTCACATTTCTCTCCAAATCACACTTTAACCTATTTCAAAATGGATCTTTAGCAAACTAAATTACATAGACTTTAATTGTGAGAATAAATTCCTTATTTGATGCTCATGTGTAACTTGTGTAGTTTTTACCTTAATTTTTAACTTCATGTTGACTGTACCTTTAAATTGTTTAGTTGTGCCTCGCCTTGTTGTTTGGGTTTCTGTTGTGTTGCCTAATATCATGTCATATTTATTCAGGTGATTTATAAAGAAAGTCATTATTCTGTTGTTGTCGTGAACTAACTCCAGTCTGTTGCCTGCCTTAATGCTCTAAGTTAAACTTAAAGTGAAATTTTGAACCAGACCACGGTTATTTTATGATACTAAATGCTTTACTGTTTACATTGTGATGCACTAGGATTTAATAACTTGATATGTGCTCAGACACAATTTTACATTCATTGAGATCTGATGTTTTCATAACACAGATGATCAAGAAATGCATTCAAAGTGAGACTTTTCTTTCCTTTTTTTAAAAGAACACATGTAAGCTGATATCGGACCATACATCCGAGGACTGACCCTTCTCCAGTTGGCTCTCTTCAGCTGGACCTCTGGCTTGTACTCCTTCTTAGCCTGGAGCCCGAAAGGCAGTGGAGGTGGAGCAGGGGCACCCCAGCCCCCCATGCCAAATGGTGGGGGTGGAGGCATGCCTGGGCATGGCGGCGGCGGAGGAATACCAGGAGCCCCAGGTAGAGGCGGTGGTGGTGGAGGTCCCATTCCAGGTAAGGGTGGAGGCGGTGGCGGTATTGGCATGCCAGGTAGGGGTGGCGGAGGTGGAGGTCCTGGCATACCTGGCAAAGGAGGTGGAGGAGGAGGTGGAGGAATACAGGCATGACCCGGTAAAGGAGGAGCGGGTGGGGGGATAGGCATGCCCGTCTGGCCTGGGAGGGGAGGGGGTGGAGGTGGAGGTGGCATACCAGCATTCTGACCAGGGAGAGGAGGGGCAGGGGGTGGAGGGGGCAAACCAGATGGCACAGGCACAGGCACAGGGACAGTGACTGTAACAACTTTAGTCTTGGCCTCTTCCAGATCTTTAGAAAGCTTTTCAATCTGCAGAGAAAAAGGATAAATATCCATTAATCTATAACCTGACATAAAACTGTACATTTTCAAACACAATACAGTCATTTGTCATAATAGCATTTTGTGGGTGTACATAGTTGTTGTTTATTTCTTAAATAAAAATCAATTTTCTTAAGATAAGCCATCCACCCTTACCAATGAATAGCAGTGCCAACAGAGTGATTAGATTGTAGAGAAAAAAACAGCAGAACAAAAGAGGGGGAAGAGTGACATAGAATGGGATTACAGTCTGGGCAGCATTAAGTTTTTGGAGAGATGGGGAAAGAATGCAGTATAAGGCACAGAGACAAAAACATAGCAGGGGGGATTTAAGCCCAATTCAAAAGAAAAAAAGTTTTAAAAGAGGAAGACAAACTTCTTAATTAGCAGTGGTGGTGAAATCAATCTTTCATTCCAACACTGAAATACTTATTTCAGCATTTACACAAGCTAGGCAACAGTTCTTAAGAAAACTGTGCACTTCATTAAACTGTCTGCTTAACTGAAGTGAGCCAAAAAAGTGGCATAGGAGGACTTGGGCTTGAATGGGAATGTACATTATGTGATTTAAAGCAGGCAGTTATGGAGAAGTTAAGAGAAGTGTAGTGGTAAAGTATAGTGCAGGGAAGAGTGCTCCTCCATACATACAAACAGGGAATGTATTTTTGTGGAGGAGTGTTTGTGTATATGGGATGTAACAAATTGTTTAAGCTGTCTCCTCGGACTATGAAAAGAAGAGTAACAGACATAAAGGGCCTCTGAGGCAAGCTTTCTTAGCGCGGCAGCAGATGAAGAGATGGGCACGGCATCACACAAAGGGACAGTGAGAGATCTCAACATGTGAAGAAATCTTCGATGGGCAGTGCCTCAAACACAGACGAAGTGAGCCATCTTAGTACGAGAAGCTTGTTAGATGCCTGGCTGGCTGGCTGGCTGCTAATGTTGTTGATGCGTAGGACAACTGTGTGTGCATATGCGTGTTTGTGTGTGTCTTTGGCTTTTGCTTGGTGAGAAGATGACTCTGCTGGCATCAGCCACATTGGATGAAGCTCATTTTGAAAGCTGTGTTCTTTTACTGACAGTCATACACACACACGCACGCAAACACAGACACACACGTCCACCGTGACTTCTTCATGTTGTTGTAAGCGCACATGCACAGAGGCAGACTGTTCTGGGTCACTTGGTGTGTTGGTGAGTTGGGGTGACACTGTGAGGCAGAGTCCAGCTGGTATGGCAGCAGGACACTGACAGCTAAACAATCCTCATCTTTGCCTCCCTAATTTATGAGTTTACACACACAAACACACACAACACCCTGCATGTGTGTATCTTGGCCTTTTAATTTTTGCTGTCCTATCTTCATCCGTCCCTTTCTTCTTCACTCGTCTCCTTTTAGTCACTCTTTATACTCCGGCTCCCCCACTCTGCATGTTTTTAGTGAGTTCTTAATCTGTAAAGGATTTGGCTTCATTTCACAATCTTTTCTTTTCTTGCTAAAAGTTGGCCAAATCATTTAGGCCAGGGGGCTTCTGCATTTGTGTGGGTGTGCAGAGATGTTGGAAAACTTTTTGGTGCAAATCTTTCTGCAATATTGTGTTCGCTCAAGCTTTCACATGTTTTTATTTCTGCAGCTTTTGCAGACGTTTCAGTTTAGTGTTTTAAGGGTTGCAAGCACATTAAAAACGACTCATTCATTAATCCGACTTAATCTTCATAAATTTTGTCCAAATGTTTTGTTTCTTTTATATTAACGTCACAATTAAGAAATGATAGAAATGCCGTACAAAGTCTGAACTGGTCAACTTGCCACAAAGATTTCAGGAAGCGTCATTCTGGGTCCAACTCACTTTTAATTAAGTGAATTAAGATTAAGATTTCTTTAACGATCAAAAATAAGTTGAGAGAACATTTTTCTTTTATCTTACTAACTTAATACTTCAGTCAAACAGAACTCAGTTAAGATGAAAGCAGCTTCAATTTTAATTTGAGCTATTTGTATGAAAATGTGTTTAGCCCCCCCAAAAAGACGTGTGAGCTCCTTTGTATTTGGGTGTGTGTGTGTGCGCGAGCGTGCGTGCATGTGTGCTTGTATACCTGCTGTTGCAGAGTGCTTAGCTGTTGTTGTAGTCCCTGGTTCTCCTTTTCTCGTTCCAGCTTAGAAGTTGACAGCTGTTCCTTCTCGTGGCTCATGTCCTGCAGCTTGTGCTCATAGTCACCCTCCAGTTTCTTTAGCTCCACCTGCAACTCGTGGCGTGCTGTCAGCTCTGCATCCAACTAACACACATGTAAAGGGTCATAAAGGGTGTCAGACTCAGAGTAATTTAATATATACAGAATGCAGAACAAAAAAACAAAAAGTTCTTCATTGACGTTTTGGTGATCTACAAGTTTTATTGGGTGATCAATTTCAAGAGGCAACATCTCAAGGGCCTTTTCTTTTCTAAGGAAGAACAGACACTTTGGCACTGTTTTGAAAGAAGTGATCTTTATGCTTATGTAATGATATTAAGCTAATTTTGGACAACTTATATTTATGACGTTCACCCCTAAGGGCCATATCCATCTATATATCAAATCCCTTCCTCTGGATAGGAGGCCTGCCTTGTTTGGATAGGACTGTACCATCATTTACAATTAAAAATTGTTTTCAAATATTCTCTTCTTAGCTCGGACATCAGCAGTAATGTGAGAGTACAAAATCAGGTTTCCTCTATGAAAATAAGTACCACAAATGCCAAATCATTTTTAAAAGCAATTCATTTATAAGGATTATAGAAGAGAAGTACATTGCACTAATACCAACCCTGTGGTAAAGTGTGCTTGCATGCACAAGCTCTTCATGCTGTGACAGTAATCATATCTGTAAGACCTGTAGAAGCCATTCCCTGCTGTCTGGTGCTTTCACTTTCATTGTATAATTTACACTGCAAATTAGTGTCAATTATGAGTTAGGATGCTTCAGTGCCCTTGTATGAGCTCACTTCTCACTTCCATTTACAGCAATTTTAATTTTCTCACTTTCATAAATTTTCAAGGATTTTTCTTCTAGGGCACTTGACACACAGAATGAGTGCTTGTAAACGGATCAATCCGTGAACACACTGCAATGCATGGCTGTTTCGTTTGCAGACAGCAGATTGGTTACTCTCGCTGTCAGCACCCTGACAGCCTCATCCCTAATTCCTGCCAAAGAGACTGCCTACAATTACCCCATCATACACAACCAGCAATATGGCGGGTGTGTGCGGTCAACGAGAATTAAGTGTGCTCATGTAATGTCTACTGTGTGGGTGTGCATGCATTTAATGGATATGATCCAATGGAGAGAGTATGTGTGTCTTTCCGGGTGCCTGAATGAAGGCTAGTTTCAGCTCCCTCTTTGCAATTATCTTGTCACTGGGACAGAAACATCAGGGTAGCAGCACACTGCAATCAAGGCATGTATCCCCTTGAGTCAATTTCTGTATGTGTGTGTGTGTGAGTGTGTGTGTGTGTGTCTCTCCCTTAAAGAGTATTTGCTTCCAGATATGTGTGCTCATTCTCCAAGTCACCCTCTTTTGCATGCTTTTTCACATTTGTTGTCCCTTGTCAGCCAGAAAATGGTCACAAAGAATTCAGTATGATATGATACCATCTATTGTTGTGATGTTGCCCTTTACAATATGTATGACTTGTTTTGTCTTTATAATTGTAGGAGTGTGTGTACTTCTTGGTTGGTGGGAAAATGTGTCTGTGTGTATGACATGCTGTCGTTGCAGGTATTGATGTGTATGCATTACGGCTCTTAAATGTTAATTAACTTGTTCACATTTCACCTTTTTCTCCAGCTCGTTTGCCTTCGCCTGGCTTGTTTCCACCTTAGTCTGGTCCACCATGTTGTCTGTGGACAAACAGAGAGGACATGGGAAAGGAAAAGTGTGAATGTGAAAAAAAGCAGCGGACAAGAAAAGAGTTTCAGACACCGACATGCACATGTCTGGCCATGAAGACATCACACCCTTCAGTCTGACACATACTGTGCACATTTACAATCAGACACTTACACACAGAGCAAGTGTCCCTATTCTTCACTGTCACACTGGTCAAAGTCAAGATCATTGATAGGATTAAAGATCCATATCATTAGAATGGGATACTATCAGCTGTGTGCTGTTTCAAATTCTAGCTTTCAGCACATACACCTTTGCCTGACTGTGTGTGAGAAAGGTGAGAGCACACTAAATTCCCTCTATGTGAAAAACCTCTCACAAATCTTTTTTTTTTTTTTTTTGTACATTCCCCTCTTCTCGTTTTTTCTGACAGACTGCAAAAATATAAAAAGACTATATAACAATGGGGAGCTATCCATTATCTGAGGTTCTGCTTGGCAGAGGAGAGGGTGGAAAGGACACAGGCTGACCAACAGGGTACTTTTACAGAATAATTGCAGGGTCTACAGGTGGTTCAGTGCCCAAGGGCTTACTGAGCATGTGCAATAAAAGAGCTAATTAACATGAAGATGAATGCCAAAAAGTCACTGGATCAAAGACAGCTAATCATGATGCCCAGGAGAGGGATCAAACAGATAGATTTCAGAGAAAGAGGCGCTTGGAAAAGCTAAATTAGAAAGTGAAGAAATTACATAAACTTACAGAGAGTGATATATACAGATTCTGAAGAGAAAGTTTGAGTCTTCAGTTGCATGAGAAAATGGAAAAGGAGTTAAAAATATGCATGTTTCTTTATATAAAAACAGGCTAGTAAGCAAGGCAGGGGAAAACGAGAAATCTATTTTGTGAAAAAGATGGTTTTGCCAGATGAAAGAACCCCACTTTAATATGCCAACACACATACAATGTCAGAGTGTGCATTCGTGTACGAGTTCACATGGTTATTGGATGTGTAATGGAGGGAGGGGGTTACTTCAGTCATGGTAGCTAAGCTAAATGGGACAAACTTTGAATAGAGAGCACTAAGGGAGCCAGAATATGGAGGGGAAAAACTGTGCTGAATTTCAGAGTTCAAAGAAAAACACTAAATAATGCATGCAGGGCAGAATTGGGCTGCTTTCCACCGATAATAACTCTGGCAGCCTTAAAGGAGGCCAGCCAGCCTGTATGTGCGTGTGTGTGCGTCAGGACGCATTTAGAAGCAGAGCAATTAGAGCCTCCTGCGGTGAGCAACGGAGACCTGCCATAAAGGAATATTGAACTCTTGAGACATGGCCTGCACCTTCATTCTGTTCTGGTTTATTTGACTCTACTCATCAGGTGTTTCCTAGTCAACACTTAGAGCTGGCATTCAAATACACAACTCCACATGCACATATATCATTACATACCATTAATTCAGCATTTCAATGGAGCAAATGTAACTGACATTGACCAGTGGAAATTTAAATCCTTTCCCCACACAGTTTTATCTGTTACCCCTTTAGCTGGTTAGGGGTGAGGTAAAGTTCACAATGTTCAGGTCTGTCTTTAAATAACAGCCAGGAACCCCTATAGACATAAAAATACTTTCTGTCAGCCATAATAGTTTCTTCTTTTCATACTGGCTATCAGAAAGATCCCTTCTGATGCTTGTCCAATGAAAATGATGGTAAATGGACTTGAGTTTGTATAAATGGTAAATGATAGGGGGTCAAATTTACAGCTCAGTGTAGAAATTATTTCATAAGTCTTAAGTTCATAAAAGGCTTCATCAGATCTAGTTCATCAAAACAATGCACTGCAGCTCATCCAGAAGTACTGGAGAAGACAGTAAAGTTAGACTCACTTGATTTGTCTAATACTACTGAAAATCTTCAGATTAACTTTGTTATAAAAAATTGCACAAAATAAGGATTACCTCAATCCTTATTTTGTGCAATTTTTTTATAACAAAGTTAATACAGAATATACATGTATATTGTGATTATTGTGCCATCCTTCAGCTTTATTTTCTAACAGTTACCATAACCAGTTCCTGGAAAGAAAAACATCTTACTTGTCTCTCACTGTGTGTCAACGCTGGGAGAGGGTAGAGGTGCTTGTCTTGCCTGGTTTAAATAAGTTTTTATCCTCTGGATAAAGTTTATTTTTAATTACTGAAGCAAGTCAATAAAACCTGTAGCTGAGTTCAGCCCACACTGATGCACTCCCTCTATGGCACCACCATGTGGTGCTTATGTGCCGATACAGATTTGTCAACAATGTAGACGGACAATGTTACGAGTACCGTGATAGGACTTTTTTTTTTTTTTTAAATCATGTGTATAGTAGTATGACAACAGCACAGCATAAGGGTAGGCCAATAATAAATTATGTTTAAACATTAGACCCAACACATTACTTTCTGCTGCATCTGCATTACATGTTAATGTGGTCTTTAACGTAAATGAAGGTCCACAAAGAAATGTTGAAACACAGTAACAGCAGGCTATATTTAAAGGTTCTTGATGGACTTGATTCTGTGTTTCTTTTGTCTAAAAACTCAACTCACCTATCAAGCCTTCAATGTTGAGGCTGAGGTTACGGCACTTGAAGTCAGGGTCTGCTCCATTCCTGTGAAGCACAATCTGAGCAATGCACTCGTCTATCAGTTTGTAGTACTGAGGCCTGCAGCATGGAGAGAGAGAGAGAGAGAGAGACAGATTTCCAGATAGATGGATTAGGAGACAGACAGAGAGATAGGGAGAGGATGGACAATAGAAGGAGGACAACAATGGTGAACAAGAACAAGTCCTGGGCAAAGAGAGAGGCTCTTATCTCTCTAAAACAAATGTTGCAGATTGTGTCAACAATGACAATTCTGGCAGGTATATTCCTTTTACAATACCAGTGTAATATGCCTTTAGAGGAAACCTGGGGTGAACACGGGATGGGACTGACACGGCGCAACCAGGTTCATTTGTTCAGACAAATGTGTGATCACACATGCTTTGTCACTTTGTCTGCCACTGAGATTGGCTGTCTTTGTGAGCATGACAGTTTGAGTTTCTTGTCACAAAGATTGATTGTGTACAACTGTGAGAGTGAGTTGGTGCACGTCCAGTGCTCCGTGTCTGATCAAGCCAGCTTCACACAGACAGTCAATTTTGGAGGTGTCTTATTCCGTGACCCCATTAGATGCTGCCAGAGTCACAAACTCAATACTTTATTTATTCTCTCTCTGACTGTCTCGTCTTTCTTAGTCACTCTGCTTTTGTCTAACACTTATTTCACTCCTTCACTATACTTCAAGGCTTTTTTTTCCTGAGAGCTTAGATTTATCCGTGGAGCGAGATAGACATCTAGTGTCATGATGGAAAACAACAACAGAATTTTGGTTTTCTTCATGAGCCGCAACACATTAAAACAAGAAATTCAGTTTTAAATGAAAACATGTGGTTGGACAGCACATTTTGATAACACAACAAAAAAAATACCAAGAATCAATAATAGTATTCAGCCTAATCTAGTTTTCATTCCTTCTAGGCCCCTCTCTCCTTCTCTCCATATCAACTTGACAATTGACCTCAACTCTCAATAGCTTTTTCATTATTGTTAGCCCCCCACCCCCAACCCCCTTTTCTCTTCTTCTCTGTAATTATAAGGCTGTATTTTCTGAGACTCTAAATCTCTTGTTCCACTCTCACTTCCTGTCTCTATGGAGTCCATTACAGACTCCCTTTATTTTCCCTGGCTAACGTGCGTGGAAAAAAATGGAAAGGAAAGACGGATGAACTGAAGAGGGGAGGTAAAAGACTTCACCTACGACAATTTATTGGGGTCAGCCTTCCTCTTCCATCTTTAATATATATTTCCCCAAACAGTGTTAAAAATACATTCTAATTTCCTGTCTGCCTGATAGCATCAATATGACCCTGACCTAACAACACAACTAACTCAACACATACAGTATGTGTGAATGCCTGCATGTGTTCTACGACTTTGTTTATGAATGTGGACATCCATGTGTAGTCGTCCAAACACATGCATGTGCAGATTTGTAAGCATATGCATGTGTGGACGTTCCTACAAGTCAGCTGGTCCTTAACATTATTCTAGCCTCGTCATGTCATTCAATCACTCAACTCTCCTTTCTCCACTGTTTCCCTTGCTAAAGCCCAAAGGGCTTTAGAAGACAGAGGGAGGGACATTAGCATATTTTGGCTGATAAGAAATGATGGTGTTCATTTCTATTAAAATGGAATTGGATTTCTTTGCATGTTTTAATTTATCAGCCTTCCCACTGCACTCTAGAAAACAAACAGCAAAAAAAAGCTGTAAAGGGAGGGGTAGAGGAAGAGGAGTAATTGAAGAAAAGTAAGACATTTCTCCATCTTGGGTTTTTGTTTTTTGTCTGTCATCCTTTCTTTTAAGTGTATGGTGATATGACAGCATGATATTGACAAAATCAGCATTATTTTTTTTACACCGGAAGATTGATTCTATAGTTTAACCTGTAACTGAACACCCAAAAATAAAAATAATATTTACAGTATAAAGTAAATCCCAGATGAAATACTGCCTCTTATTTTATTATACCATAATTCTTCTATGATATTTGAATGTGAGAGCAGAAGCATGTGTGCCATGTATGGGCATGAAGGGGTGTGTACATGTTCATGTGCTACCTGGCGAAATAATCATTCCGGATCAGGAGCAGGTGCTGCATCACAGACAGGAAGTGGCTCTCGGCCTTCGAATCCTTCACGGTGTTGGCTAAGATGTCAAACACTTCCCTCACATCAGTGAAGATAAAACAGTTAAGGTTTAAATAACCAACGAATACAACATTTGAAAGCATTTTAAATATTGCATAGAAAACATCCTAATCAATCACTGACACACTGGGATGACTCTGAATAGTCGGAATGCTGAACACTGTCATTGTCTGAACTCGAGAAATAAGTGAAATAAAAGTAGACATGGCCAAGACTTATCATCCTTCAGGTAATCTTGTTCAACAAGGACGGTTTGATGGAATCTCAACATTTCTTTTGATAACTACCACAGCCACTTCTATCAAGCATTATGTTGTCCTGAAGTTGAATTTGACCTTCTGTGTTAAATGCTAGCAGGCAGCAGAGATTGTTGCATTGGCAAAGTGTGGCAGACTGTAGGTTACTTGTGGGAGACACCTGGTGTTAAAAAATAGAAGTGCATGTCAAAAGCAGCAGGATGAATAACAGCAGTTGGTTAATGTCCTTTTGGAAATGTTTTTAGAAGTAACAGAGAGGGGGATTTTTGTTTTCTCTTTTTTTAGATTGCTATTAAAACTCTTTGTAGCTTTGCTTTCTCATTAAGTCCAAAAAGTAATTGTTCTGCGATAAAGATAGCAATGTCCTCTGCATCTGTCCCTTTAAATATGTATCTTTGTCAGATAAGGAAAAAATCATTAAGATATACAGGTAGGGAGACGCTTAGAATAAAGCTATTAATTCAGGTGCAGTGATCCCACTTTAGAAATTTGATGCTAATAAAAGGTCAACAAGGGTTACAATGAACCTGAAGTCTAAAACATCTTCCTTATAAAGTGTGAATATATCAATAATATATCAGTCTTGGTATATGTGAAGGGAAACAAAATGAGTCATTTGTTTAGTGTAGACAGCAGGCTTGTTTGTATTACAGAGGGAATACAACTATATAATGCTACATACTGTCTACCTCATTTTGTCATTATAAAGGTTATTGCTATCACGCATCTAACCAGCAAAGTAATGTAAACCTGAAACCACAAGCATTCAAATGTATGTTGTAACCTGGTTTTACGTTTTTCAAGGTCAAAAAGAAGACCCTGCCTATTTCTACAGATGGAACATTTTTCCCAGTGGAAGGATATTCCATTTCAATCCGGATGTCATCAAGACGCGCTTTGAGGTCCTCAGAGTCATCTTCAGCCTGCTCATCAAACACCGTGAGTTGCACCCTCAGCTCTTCGTTTTCTATGATTCGCACCTCCTGCAGGGAGAGTGATAGGATGCAGGCAGAAGGAAGAAAAGGTAGGGGAGGGAAAGGAAGGGAGAGTGAGTGCAAAAACATTGCCTTTGAGAGACTGTTTCCACAGCATATCATCGTGTTTCAGTCAGGCAGCCAAACAGAGGCAAGAATGACAGAGACATGATGCAAATGTGTGTTGTTTGAGAGTCCCTTTAAGAGAAGATCAAAAGATAATTTTCTCTACCCTCAGCTGGTCCCTGAGTCCCAATCTTAGTAGTTCAGAACGAATATGGATCCTGAAATCCAACTCCTCTCCCCGGCTTATCAAGGCATTGATCAGCTGCATGCAGCCACCCTGCAAAAAACACATGATGAGGTCAGCTATGGATTACACCTTTGATACAAAACACAATAAAGAAAGAAATTCACACAGGAGGGCTTGTTATTTAATCAATATAAACCCTGTTGAAGCATGTGCATGTATACCTTAAGAGCAATGTTGTGATTGTTCATGCCAGTAAGGAGAGGCTGAAACCTCTCAATCTCTCGTTTCTCTGCCTCCTCTGTTATGGCCTCCAAAACACGCTCATGACTGGAAAGACAAACACGTAGTTACATGAGATACGTTTTTTAAAATTCAACAATAACCATTACAGGATGAAGAAGTACATTCAGTTTCTCTATGTTGCCACTTTTATGGAACTATGATAGATCTCAATGCTACATTGCTACTCATTACAAATCTAGCAGATGAACACTAACTTTATATATCACCACACATAGACTGATGTTTTCGACATAAACTGTTGGGAACACTGGCTCCCCAGGGCATCATTTCTGAGTTTTCAATAAATAAATGATATGCTGGTTAACATTTTACTGATACTTACAGGTTCTCTGGATGTTCCAGAATTGAGATGGCAGAGAGCAGCTTGACAGCATCCACCATCATATGGGGCAGCCTTGGGTTAATGGCTCTGACCAGCAGAGGAATTCCCTCATCGCACTCCAGCATGGATTTTAGACCATACTTAAAGGGGAGGGAAAGAAAGGGGCAAGAGAACAGAATAAGTTCACGTTATTCAAGGAAAAAACACATTTTGACAAAAGCAACTTTGGAAATAACTAACATGCAATTCAGTCAGTAATAAGAAAGAGGAAGAATAATCTGGCAGAGCGGAACATGTATAAAAAATACATTAAAAAAATGTATTGTTGCTTTTACTCAAAACTGTTTCTATGGTTACTGAGTACACTAAGTTAATGACAGATTTATTGTTTAGTTAATATTTGTAAATACATCCTTTCAAAATTAATTAAAGCCTCAAGTCAATATCTTTATTGAACCATACACAGTTTTCTCTCTTAATACAGTATTATGTCTTGGTGTCAAGCTTTTGGTATGTTGATCTCAGCCAATCTAAATAAATGTTTTGGATAACTTTAGGGTATAAAGAGAGGTTTCACTTTTGTGTATCTTTGAAATTCAGAGGTGAAATTGTATGTTTTTAAATGGATTTGTGATGATTACTTTGAGTTGGACATGGAAAACTCAAAGCCATCTCAAAGGTTTTGAAATGATTGCTTTCACTGTGATGAACTAAGCTAAAGTTAGTGACACTGATATTAAAATGCCCTCTAGTGGAGGAGTCGCTATACTACAATAAGGGCAGAAATGACAGTTGATTCCATTAGTAGTTCTGCTGCTTACGACTATGTGCTGTCGTGCATAAAAAGGATTAGGTGGTTTTGATGTTCAATAACAAACTGTAAGTTTGTCTTACCTTGTTGTTCATAAAGGCTTTTAGGCAGCGAATGATCTCGTGTTGACATTTTACTCCCATCATTCTAGTTGGTAATTTGGACAGAAAAAAAATTAATTAAAAACATTGTGCTAGATATCACAACTGCCCTCACTATGGTTGATGTGTCTTACGGGTACTCGTCTTTGTCCTCCTGTAGTCTTCTAAGCCGATTGAGCAGCAGGGCCAGCCCCTCATCTCCAAAGTTCTGCACCCAACTGAAAAAGACAAGACAAGACAACATGTACTTCAAACCTTTAAACTTTCCCATATTGGCTTTTTTTTCTCAGCTATACTCTTAGAACAAACATCCACCCACCTATTATCTATTACGATTATCCCATTTGGATAATCAACCAATCCCAACTTTCATTGGGGAAGGGGTGGGAAACACCCTGAACTGGTCAACCAGTCAATCACAGGACTCACATACAGAGACAGACAACCAGTCACATTCACATCCACACCTACAGACAATTTAGAGTCACCAATTAACCTAACAAGCTAGTTTTTTAGCAATCTCCATATAGAAAGGTGCTCTCCGGCAGCACCATTAAGTCCATTACAAAAAACAAACCTTTCAATTTCTTTTTAATATCATCTTTCATGTTTTTAATATGCCTTTTAACTTGATGAAAAATAAATGCACTTCATTGTTTACAGTGACTGCATGATTCTTTTGTGTGTTTGTCTTTTTCTCTGATTCACGATGATCTTTCTTTGTTCTATTGTTCTTCCTTTACTAAAAACTCAAAGGATATTTAATAGAAGACACAAGTGAACAGGTGTCTTTTACATTTACACATACAGAAATCTCGAGTATTAAGATCGTTCTTTCGTAAAATCTCTTACAGTCTGAAAAGTGATAGTTTGATGCTGAACTATAAGTCACTTTGTAAGTAAATAAGCAAATTGAATGGTCTTGATTGGAGTGAAATCTGGACTCCCCACCTGATTATTGATACAATATATTTCAGGCAATTCCAGTGTTTATCTGGTCACTGTGTTAATTTCAAAGTATCTTTATGAAGCTGTATGTAAGGCAACATGTGTATTACCTGACAGGGTTGTTGTTTAGAGAGACACGCAGAGATTCCAGACAGCTCAGCAGCTGTGTGTCTCTGTAGTCTGACCTCAACTCCTGGATGTACATCATGGCTGATTTGGAGCTCTCCTTCTGGTCTTGGCCCTGATCAAAAAAGCACAAGCATACACAGTGGGAACACAAACACACAATCACCCTGTGTTCCACATTTATATTTGTCTTCTTACAGGTTATAATTGATTTTATTTCCACATGAAATCACAGCAGCAGGGTATGGAGTACAACAGTTAAGCCTAATTTAAAATTTTGATTTGCAGAATTAAAGGGTACTATGAGTGAGAATCCCTCTCAATAGGCTTATGTCACAGTCAAATGAACTGTGCTTGCAGCCATCTGTGCTTGGTTATGTAGGTCCTTTGAGCTACACCCTTTCACCACATTTAATTACATCACACCTGCTGCTTTTGAAAATATATTCACACAACTGCAAATAGTGCTGGTTCTACAAATGATTGTCCAGATCATTTGTTTACTCTACATTTCACCAGTGAATACATGAACAATTTATCAATAAAAACAGATACAGTAGAAGTTAACAAAGGCAATACCTGAACTTATCTCCTTACTTTTAGAGTTTTTAAAGTGAATATAACAAAAGAGGTAAACAAAGTATGGACTACTATTTGTTTAGTATAAAGAGGACAATATGATTTGCAACTTTCACTGATAAAACCAGTGATGAACAAACAGCAGCTTGTATTAAGCAATGTCCAAGTTCCCTTGAGCACATAATGTCAAGAGTTAATTTGGTACTGACAGCCTTTGACGTGTGGAGGTACTGAGACACCATCTCTCGTTTGATCATGATGTCCTTTTCCCTCAGAGGCTGCTGCTTCTCCCCATTCAGGTTCATATCCACCTGGAGAAAGAAAGAAAGAAAGAAAGAAAGAAAGAAAGAAAGAAAGAAAGAAAGAAAGGAGATAAAAAGCAGAAGAAGAAACATGATGAATGGATGAATCTAGTACTTTGAGACAAACAGAAAGCATATCTGAAGCCTTAAACAGTCATTACAGTGAAAAAATATATTTACTTGGAATCATATTGCACTTATAAACTTAAAGAACTACAGTAATGGTATGTGAATGGTTGGCTGAGTTGGCAATAGGAATGTAAAATCCCTATAATAGTAATAATGTTTTAGATCACGGTCATTTCGTGTAAATCAAAGTACAACTTTGTACACAAGGACAAGTTAGGCACACAACTGTTTACCTACAAACAACATTGGACATCTCCAGCACAAACTAAGTTATTTTATTGATAAAATGAGAAACTGCTCGACTGTGTGAACCAAATGTGACCGGCTCTTTGTATTTAAATGATTTGAGTGGATCTTTTCTTTTCTTTTCTTTTTTGAAGTGTGAAGCTACGAGCAAACTAAAGAGCGCTAGCATTAGCATGATAACACAACAATGCAGCGCGAGTTGTTTTGGTTTCATGCTGTTGCTCAAGGGCGACATCTACTGGATCAAAAAGTTGCATATTCTTCCTTTAACGCACATTCACACACTTTGATCATCTTTCTTACCAGCATCTGTTCGAAGAGTTCCAGGACGTATTCATCAGAGTGGTCGGGCAGCATCGCACTCTGTCCACTGATCTCATAGCTGGCAGCTGAGGAGTGGCGCTGACCCTGCATATGGCCGGGCTTCTCCTTGTCCTTCTTCATCCTCATGCTGGTGAAACGCTCCAACTGAATTAGCAAACAACATGACACAGATCAAACGACAGATGCCAGAGAGAAAATCTGCAAAGTGTAGGCAAAACAGTGTAAGGGCAAAAAACAAGGCAGCAATCCCGAATCAACTCACAGTTTCCTGTTATTAAAGCAATTCCTAGAAAATGAACCGTTGCAAGAAAGGCTCTTTTTGACTTATATCTCAGATATTGCATTTTCTGCAACATTACAAACTTTTAACAATGTGAATCGATGGTTAGGGATTAGAGGTTTTTTGCCGACAAACAAAACATGCCACAGAAAGCAGTTGACACTAGCAGGCGCAGAACATAACACTCAATTTGAACAAACAATGGGGGATTTTCTTCCCTCCTGTTTTAATGACTTTGTGTGTTAACTTGCAATAACATTCACAGTGGTAATTATTTATAGCCCAATGAAAAACAGTGAAGAACATCACACTTTGGGTATATGTTACATCGACACATACTGACAGAGTAAATCCCAATAACGATTCATGTTCATGAATAACAATCTGTCAATATGTATGATTCTAACATCATCCTGTTGTGGGCATTTGAGAGCAACACTGTGTACAAAGCATTTCATTATGTCAGTGTGTATCTTCAGATCATGCACATAAAGCACAAATAAAACACAAATTCTTAACATGTATATTATGGCAGAAAAGGGATTTAGGACATGACCTTACATAGGTAATGGCGATTTGGTTTATCAAACACCACAGTGACACATTGACAAGTCAAGCACACAGGGGAATTTTGCAAGCAATAGCAGACCTACCTCTTCAGGAATCAGCCGTTTGAGTTTCTGTAAAGGATGAGTGAATGAAAGGGAAACAAATGGTGCAGAGGGGTAAGAAAATTGAAGAGATGAGAGGGAAAGTGGTGGCAAAGGGGGCAGATGGAGGGAGAGAAGAGGATAGAATCAATTAGAACAGAAATTGTTTAAGACAAGAAACCTCATGAAAACCTTTTGCAGGGTTCATGATTGATTCACAGCAGGAAAGAGGGAAATGCTATCAATTAATATTAACTATTAACTATTATAAGTAAATCCTTTCATTCATAATGAAGTGAACTAAAGCATTTACAGTTAAGGTGGGGGTAATCACAACACCTATAAGGAAGTAATTATATCATCAGTCAACACAGAGAAACAGTCAAAATCAGAAAAGGCATCATTTCAGTTTGAGGAGGGAAAAGGTGACATCATAATATGTAACATACACTTGTATCTCTTGGCCACTAGGTGTCAGTGTATGCTCAATAATAGAAAGAAACTCATAGACAGAAATTCCATTTTCCAACTGTACAGATGTGTCTGACAAGGTCCTTGGGGATAAAATCACATCAAACTGTCTCTCATAAGAATATTCAAAAGTCAAATTTAAAGGAAAAATGTTTTCCATTTGTTTAGACAGAGGAAAGAAAGTCACATTGCACCTCCAGTGCTTTGGTATGCAAGCCCGGACATGAGAATGATCTGGACAATAACACACTTTCACATTGTTATGACATCAGGGGTTTGACGGTCAAAGGTGACAAGCTGAAGTCTTCTCATTAAAAGAAAACACACAGGCAGTATTTACAGATGTTATTAGTTTTAATCTACATCTTTGTCTCATGTATCAGTTAAATAATGAACAGAGAGCCTTTGAGATATACTATAGCGAGCTGGTTTGCTGAGAATAAGTTTATGTTTTTGAATGAAGAGCATTTCACTATTAACTGACAAAGTAAAGTAGTTTTATTTTAACGCAAACGTGTATTCATGTCGCACTTTTTGGAGACCTGTTCTTAGACACAATGGTACTCTCAGGGGAAAGCCTTTTCATTGGCTTTCCCTTTCTGTTGATATCACGGTAAAAGCTCCACTTATTTTTGGCTGTGACATTGTATCTGTTTGTTCCTTCCCATAGTATTAGACATTTTGATCTTTCCCTCTGAGTTTTAAACTGAAGTCTTGTTAAGTATCAGTGTAATGGGTTGTCCATTTATACACATGCCACAGCTGGACAGGTTAGCTAGACATTGTTTGTAGCATGAGGTAGAGAGTGGAGCAAGAAACACAAGAAAATAAAAAAACCACTCTGATCATAGGGAGGGCAGTGAAGAGAGGGATGTTTCAGCTTGCACAGCTGCCATTACCAACAGACCCTCAAATCATGTGCACACACACAAACAAAGACACTCGAGGGCGAAGATACACAGTCACAAATGTTGTTGTGCTATCCTCCTGTCCACAGAATGGAAACACAGAGATGACGGTAGTCACACTGGATTCTGTGTAATAACACTAGGTGTCAGAGAGGAAGCGTTAAATATAGATGGAGGAGGAAGAGGCAAAAACCATGCTGAAGTTTACAAACTATAATGGTTAAGTTCTGCTTTTCAGCCTACAAGTATGGTTAAGAATATATGTACTCATAGATGAGCCAGTAAGGTCAAAGAGGCCTGTATGTATACTCTCTCCCTGTCTGTCAGGAACCATTATTGCAACAATAACCCTTTTCACACATATGGAAATCTCCTGAAAAACTCCAGAGATTCTGCTACCCGGAGGGGTTTTAGGCTATGTGTGAACGCAAACAGCCACATTTTTCGCGCGAACTTTACCTGGAGTTTCTCCGGCCAGACCCCTAGTATTTTTTCTGCAGAAAGTCCGAGTGAGCTGATGTCTGAACGCGACCGCATGTACTCCAGAGATTTCAACTCGAGCCAATGGGAAGAGAATGATGTTTATATACAGTAACTGCCTAAAGTGTCTGCACGCCACCACTACGATCTCCATGCACATAATTAAAAGAGATACTTGTGAACCACTTCTAGAACTGCTCAGATTACAAAGGACTACATTGAATTATTCAATTGAAAGTGCTGACTTTTTGAATACATCTGGGAGATACAGATGGATTTAACACCTCAATAATAATGAACATATAGCAATGAATGCAAAATGAAGTGTCACAGTATGTACTGTAGTTGTTAAGTGCAGATAATAGTTTTCCACAATAAAGCTTACATCCAATGATGGAGGAACAGCTTCGTAAAATAATTACAAGATTATTTATTCATTCATTTTTATTCCCTACTCCTCCTATAGTTTTTCATCCTACTATACACAGAAGTAAGATACCAACATGGATTCTGCATGAATATATGCTTCAGCTACATCAACCGAAAACTAAAAAACAATCAACACACAGGCATTAGTGTGCAAGGCCATACCTCAACTACATGACATCACAGTTGACAAAACCATCTGCATATCCTGTGTGGATGCATACCAAGATACTGGTGAATGATAAGTGTGGGAAAAACAAGTCATAAAGTTGAACAAATAAAAAGATAACGCATCCAGAAAATAACTGAGGTTTGCCACTGACCATATATGCCGCCACTTTTGTCACAGTAACAGTGACTTTTTATATTTAGAAACCAAATGAAGCAAAAATCTGAATTACAGCATCCTGATTTCTCTACACCTGTTTTAAAAGTTAAATCTACAACTTAGATGATTAGCAATCTTAAGAGAGAAAAGAATGAACCTTACAGTTTTAGATGGATACGTCAAAAATAGGAAAACAAGAGTCAAGCACTTATTACCGCTTATATCGTGACGCTCGATTCGATCGATATTTAATTAATGCTTAAAAGTAAAAGGGAACATCGATTTTACTTTTTAAACTACTTCTCTCGCGATATTTCGTTGCTCCGCGAGATTTCCGCGGTAGCGCTTGTTGCGCGGAGACAAAGGGGCGGAGGAGACTCCACTCAGGCCACTGAGTAGCTCTTGTAAGCGACCAACATGGAGGAGAAAGAGAAAGATGAGAGCGAGGCCGAATTACTTCCAAAAAAAGGGCACATAACGCAGGGCTCGACATTATAACTGGCCCGCTGGCCCGGATGAATGATTGACAGAGTCCAGCTGATTGCACGTTCAGCTGGTAGCTTCACTGCTGTCCCTCCCGCAAGCATGCTCGCTACACTCGCGCACAGATTTTAGCGCAGGTTTTCTCTACTAAAACATTAAAACCATCATATCCTGACAAAAGCCAGGCTAAAATCAGCATTCAACGGTAAAAAAAAATCGCCGGAAGAGTCGAGAGTGACAGCAGGGCGTGACGAAAACAGAAGGGAGAAAAGTTTCACCCACAGTGGCAGACAGCTGGAGGAGCTGGAACACGCTGCAGCTAAATTTCCCATTAAAGTTAAAGACTATCTCCTGGTAAAGATAAAAGTTATTTCACAAATCATCTTAGCCCTTAAGAGACCTCCTAAAGATCTAAGGATGAAGAGTTTCTCACAGAGAAGAAAGAAGGAGAGAAAGGTGATCATAACAATTCCAGCTCTATCACAGCCTCATAAATATCAGTCAGATTAAGTAGACTCTTACAGTTACCAGCATGGTGAATAAACATGACATTATAAAAATACACAATATTTTTATAACTAGAGCTCAATTAATTGAATAAAAGTTGTAATTTAATCTTGCATCAGAATGGTTCAAGAGTAAATTGGTGACTGTTATCAAAAGTAATGTTCCTGGGCCAGTGGTTACAATGGTCGGGCCAGTGATCTTTTTTTTTTATACAGTGGAGATTCAGTCTTACAGGCTACATTTATAAACTTTAATACGATAAATATCGAGTCATATCGAATATCGACATTAGGCAAAAAAATATTGCGATATCAAATTTAGGCCATATCACCCAGTAACACTTTATCACTTTCTGAAGAAGAACCCCCTGCAATGCCAAAATCCTTTTCAAACCACCCACACACACGCCTCAAAAACCAGACAGGTTACCAGACTACAAAATCAGCAGATCTTAATTTGGCATGTGACAGTAGTGAGGTCTAGGTCCTGTGAGTAGTGAGAGAGATTACGTAATTGTTAGTACAAATTAGAGCTCAGTAAATACAGACAGGGAGAAAGAAGAGTTTTCACTTTGACAGGTAAAGAAGAGAAGTAGCCACAGACCTGTCAGATAATCATTCAAAATGTATTCAATCTAGGTACATTTTTGCACCACCACAGGTGCAAAATACGATTTTGTGACAAATAATGCAAATGGGATATTTACATTGACGCATATTGTGACATGTATTGCATTTGTCTTAAGCCTGGCTCACACTGTGTGACTTTACCCCGATTGTATAAAAGTCGGGGTGGCATGTCAGCTCACACTGTACGACTGAATCGTTTGCGACGCCCGACCAGACCTTGCGATTGACATGCTCACACTGTACGACTGAAATCGGGACGGAGCGTTGACAATTGTTAATAAAGTTTCATTTGAAAAAAACAAAGGACGACGGTTGGTGAAAGAGAAGGAAGTGGAACTTGTTGTAGGATATAGAAAGATGATACAATTGTAGCTATATGGATACAAGTTTCAGAAAAGTGCTGCACGAATGACCTGTACAGAAAAGTAAAGTGACTGCAGTCCTCCCTTGTCTCTGGTGATTATATTGTAGTTACACACAACTTCTGCCGGACCCCTTCATGATGTAAACATCAAGATTTTAAATTCTAAATATCAAACATGTTTGAAATAAAGGGCAGATCAGGGACGTTAAGATTGGATCTTTGTACCACTCACAGTGGTAACACTGAGATAATCTGAGCAGATAATCGGGTCCAAGAAGCCTTGAGTCGGGAGCAACCCTGCGATTATCGGGTAGGAAGAATCGTAGCTCAAATCGGCCCAATTATCCTACAGTGTGAGCCAGGCTTTAGGGTGTTACGTACATTGACAAATTCAGTGAATAGCACTTCATTACTGCACTAGATCAATATTGTAT